CAATTGCTAGGGGACACATGTTCATGGTAAAAGGTTGCATTGGGGGGGGGGGGGGTGGGCAAGTTTTTCACACAAAGGATGGCGAGTACCTGGAACGTGTTGCCAGAAGTAGTGGTGGAAGCAGACACACAAGCAACATTCAAGATGCACTGGACAAATACATGAATAGGAAGGGAATAGAGGGGTATAGATCCTGTAAGTGAAGACAGTTTTAGTTTGGAAGGGCAAAATGTGTCGGCACAGGCTCGGAGGGCCTGTTCCTATGCTGTATTGTTCCTTGTTCTTGTTCTTTTAGGTGGAAGTGGTTATGTGGTGGAAGATTCTGTCAGAGGATCTTTGGTGAATTCCTGCGGTGCATCTTGTAGATAGTACGTACTGTTGCTACTGTCCTGGTTAGTGTCAAGCTACTGGAGTGTTGTTGGAGCTGCACTTATCCAATCAAGTGGGGAGTATTCCATCACACTCCTGACTTGTGCCTTGTAGATGGTGGATAAGCTTTGGGGAGTTTCACACAGCTGTATTCGTATCCTCTGACCTGCTCTTGTAGCCAGTGTTTATGTCGCAAGTCCAGTTGAGTTTCTGATCAATGATAACTCCCAGGATGTTCATAGTGGGGGAATTCAGTGATGGCAACACCATTGTTAAGGGGTGATGGTTAGATTCTTATTGGTGACGGTCATAGCCTGGCATTTGCGTGGCAGGAATGTTACTTGCAACTTGCCTGCCCAAGCCTGGATATTGTCCAGGTCTTGTTGCATTAGAACATGGACTGTTTCTGTATATAAGGAGTTGTGAATAGTGCTGAACATTGTGCAATCATCAGTGAATATCCCCACTTCTGACCTTTTGATAGAGGGAAGGTCATTGATAAAGCAGCTGAAGATGGTTGGGCCTAAACAGACAGGAGTAAAACAAATTTGAGATCACAAACTTAATGATATCTGGAAGTTTATTTAATTGTTGGTAATACATTCCACAGTTTTCAATTAAAATGTTAGTATTTCTACAAAGCAATATATTGTTACCCAATACATTGACAGTACAAAACACAAACAAGTGCATGCTTTCTCTCTCACAAAATCTGTTGCTCTGACGATTCTGTTTAGCTGCATTTTCAAGTGCTGTTGAACCTATTTAAGGAAAAATTCCTGCCTTGGCAATCAGAAGCCAGAAGCCAATCAGTAGTTAAAACAGTAGTTTCATCCAAGTTTGTAGCAGATTTCTTCACACTTCCCTAGACCAGCTTCTCAAGCCTTAATAAAAATAAAACTTACCATCAAAGTTTACCCCATTTCTAAGATAGGGTCTTGTCTAGTTATCTGAAACTCACATTCCTAAGTAGCAACTTGCATGAAGACTATTAGAAATTTTATTGTGAAATTATATTCTTCCTTTTTCTTACAAGTTTATCTCTCTGTGCTACACTTGTTTCTCTGCACCATCAAATCCCTGACACTGCTGTTCAATCGGAGGCCCACTCAGAAGGGCATCCATGAAGGGTCACCGGTTACCCTCAAGTTGTAATATGATCTTCTTTAGGGACCTGGCCAGCCACTTGCCTAACTCACTTCTATCTCAAATCCATATTGTCCCACATTCCAATGATATTTTAGTTTTGCAATTTATTCCCTGTATTAGTCAGTAGCTTTATTCAATTTAATAAAAAGAAGCAGCTTCACTTTTTTATGTTTAGTTTGTGTTATCTTCAATTTATAACCTTGCTCCCTGAATTGGCTTCATACAAAACACCCGCAGTCAGCTCCCTACATCCAGAAAGTGGGAGTGCTGAACGCTAGGCTGATATAAAACAAACAACTGCCGATGCTGAAAATCTAAAACTCTCATTCTCCAGCAATTTCTGTTTTGTTTGTTTGACATTAGACTGATGTAGCATTTTGTCAGCTATAAATAAGCCAGTCAGGTTGTATAAATTAGAAAAGTAACAGGCTTTGCAGTTACTAGAATTTCAGTAAAGTGTAATAATAGATGCATAAAATTTTCATACCAGGTCCATCTAAACTGTAAAATTATAGATATTGTCCTTCTAAACTGTGCAATTCAGTGATGCAGGACACAAAACAGGCAGTGGGGCTGGTGGTTGCAGTTCAGTAACTGATGAGGGAACAAGATAAAGTGATTGATTAAGAATATCCCTTGAGAAATCTATTGGCATGTAGTTTGAAAATAATGAGAGATATTTTCCTACAGATTATTGTCATCAAATTAAACCCATTGACAATGACACCTGGGAAGAACTATGACATGGCCCTCTGGACTGAAAGCAAAACGCTGGAAACCTGAAATAAGAAGGAAGGCAATATTGGAAATGCACAGCACCATTTGTGGAGAAAAAGAAAGATAACATCACCAGACATGGACCCAGTTCAAATGAAAGATCACAGATCTGCAGATTATTTCAAGCATTTTACCTTTTTATATTGCAGCAGTCTGGAAAACCTGGCAAAACTGATAACAGTATGAATAACAGGCCTCCTGCGCGACGCCCAACAGAGGGTACTCAGGTGCAGCGCTGGCACGAGAGCTGGACAAAACACAAAAAGTGGACATGCTGGAGGGAAAGAACAAAACAAATACCGTTTAAAAAATCACAAGTTCAGTTTGAAAAGATTGGGGTTTGACTTTTTTTTTAAAAAACTTTCATGGGAGGTGGATATTTTTGGAACGGCTAGCATTTAATGCCCATCTGTAATTGTCATTGAACTGAATGTCTTACTGGGCAATTTCGTGCAACATTTGATAGTCAACCACATTGTTATGGGTTTTGAGTCACATGCCAGTCAAATCAGGTAAGGACACCTTTCCTAAAAGGCATTAGCAAGCTAGCTGTCACTTTTGTTAGCAATTTGTGTTGTGTGAGGAAAATAGTGTCTCACAAACTTAATGAAGTAACCAAAAAGATTGTTGAGGGTAGAGCGGTAGATGTCGTTTACTTGGATTTTAGTAAAGCCGTTGACAATGTTCCACATAGTGGACTAATTATTAAACTTAGACCACATTGAATTCAGGGTGAGCTTGCCAATGGATACAAAATTGGCTTAATGTCAGGAGACAGAGTGTGGTGGTGGAAGGTTGTTTTTCAGACTGGACGCCTGTTACCAGCAGTGTTCCACATGGTTCAATACTGAGTCCACTTTTGTTTGTCATTTATGTAAATGATTTGAATGAGAATGAAGCTGGCTTAGTTAGTAAATTTGCAGATAACACTAAAATTGATGGTGTTATGGACAGTGAAGAAGGTTATTTAAGATTAAAGTGATCTTGATCGATTGGGTCAAAGGGCAAGATGCAGTTTAATTTGGATAAATGAGAGGTACTGCATTTTGGTAATACAAACAAGGACAGGAACTTATACACTTAATGGCAGGGCCCCGGGTATGTTGTAGAACAGAAACACCTAGGTAAATAATTCTTTACAATTTGAGTCACAGGTAGACAGGGCCGTTGAGCATGCTTGCCTTCATTGCTCAGACCTTTGCATATCAGAGTTAGGACATCATACTGAGGTTGTACAGGTGAGGCCTCTTCTGGAGTATTGTGTGCAGTCTGGTCACCCTGTTGTAGGAAGGATATTATTAAACTGGACAGGTTCAGAAAAGATTTAAAATGGTGTATTGCTGCAAAAAAGAAACATGCTGTTGAAACTCTTCATCTGGAACTCATCAGGACAGAAGTGCAATAATACCACATCTTAAAGGGAACAGTAATTTATCCTGCTTGAGAACTTGTTGGCAATTGGAGTCTGATTGGTAGAGGCATTGCCAAATACGAGGTACACAATTTCATCATATTTAAGTTGCTAATCTATGACCCGAAATTGGCTGGTTGGTAGTTTCCTTTCCGATCCTCACTACAACCTGCCATAACCCGCAACTCACCGAATTCCATTAAAAGCAGGAAGTTATGGGTATGGCTTACTCGTGCTTCAGATATTTTAGCATTCCATCCAATCTAAGCTGCCAGTTTTTGGAGGTTTTGTGGTTCCAGCAGCAATCCAATTCAACAGAGATTGGGACTGAATTTAGGACTAGCCTTGTCTGTATTGATCATGATCTTTTATGATCAGGTAAAAAAGGCAAAATTACTCTACACCTGATGCACTGGTGGCAGTCAGTCCTTTATTATTGCTACAAAGTTGCATTTAAATATTGATGGAGCTCACTGTCCAGACTGAATTTTCAATCTACACTGGGATCCAAACTTCTAATAGAAAAGCAGACTGATGGTTGTACAGACTACTGGCAGAGTGAATACCAAACAGAATAGGTGTCAACACCTACAAAGAAAGTACATCTCAAGTCAAGGCAAACTACAACAACACAGGCCTGAACAATAGCATATCCTATTAGATAAATGTCACCTTTTTTTAAAAAAAAACAGTTCTATTGGAGAATTGAAGTTATCATAGACAAATAATCATCGTTCACCTTTAGGCAAGAAGATGCTGTTAAACCAATATTAAAAAGTAAAAGATACATATTTCAAATCTACCAAAAACAAATAAGTGTTCCCAGATGATAACACATAAAAAAAACTTGCATTGACACACAATATTAGGTCTCAAAATCCTGAAGTGCTTCATGTACAATTTACCATAAATTGCAAGATTGTCTTGCAAGTATATCCTAATATTGCTTAAAGGATAGGTTAACATTTCTCCAGCAGCTTAAAAAAGAACTGGTTTCCCTAATTTAGTTGATTCAGCAAAGCATTATTAATGAAGTGACTCACTGCCCCACACTTCTACCTCATACTATTGCATTCCACTTAAAAGGAGACTAGGTTCTCATAATTATAAAAGATGTTCTAAGAAAAAGCTGTTGAGCAAGATACATTATATTTACAGTAATATAGTTCCTTACACCATCGGTGTCGAAGAGCATCATATTTACTTTAGACACACTCAGAAGCTTAAAAATGATTACAATTTCTCTTCCTTTCTGTTGCTGATTAATAATAGCCCACCATCACATGCTCTATACTCTCAAAGAAGGAAATTCTTGAGTGAGGTACAAGTTGGCACGGCTTGTGCGACTGCACCCCAACCACAGTCAGTGCCTTCAGGGGAGAAAAAGGAAGAAGTGAAATTCAGAAAGGTGAGAGTTTCTCAGGCTCACTATGCTATAGGAAATGGAGCCGTTGCTAAGTCATTAACTGAGACATCTAAGGAATTCACAGACAAGAAAAAAAATTCACCAAATGAAGTGTTACTCAGACAACTGCTTTTAGCCCAAGAGGGCAATCATCCTTCATATATCTTCTGTCAATCCCATCTAGAAGAGACCATCCTTCCTGATTTTTGTTGAATTCCTGGCAGGTGACATAACTATTTCCTGCCCAACTCCTTTTGTCTATAAGGAAAAAGTCATCAACAGTTATCTAATAAGGAGAGTCACAAGCAAGGTTTATTTTGCTGACTGCTGGTACATGCTTTTCACAGACACTGGATAGTCTCCAGTACTTCACCCCGAAAAAAATGTACGTGCCAGACTACTCTCTGCTGGTGCTGGAGGCATCACATCTCGACAGAGTTTGATTCTGACCTCAAAAGGGAAGAGGGGTCTCTACAGTGTCGCCAGCAGCATGATTTGCTTATCAGATTTATGCTGACTTTTCTCCATCTCCAGACCTGTGGCAACAAATTTGACTACAGTCCCCTAACTAGGGGAGATTAATTAATGCAGTGTAGATAAATAGTTCAACAGTGCCATCAAGCACCATTAGCAAGCAGAACTGAATTTGATGCTGAGCAAGCTTAGTCACTACATCATATTTAACAGCAGTGCATTAATCCAGGGCTGAAGTGCATTATTTCATTTAGATTCAGTGCTTCCTTCCATTCAGTTTTCCTTAGTGAAGTAATTAACACCGGCTGCTTAAATGAGCAAGTGTTCAATCAGGATAAAAGTAGGAAGTTCTTCTCTCCTTGCCTGCATCCAGCCCAACCTAACTTTTTTCCATCCTAAAATCAAGAAACAATTTTGGAGTCACCAGCAAATCAGTACATTATCTTCTTTATGCTCAAAGCTTATCCAGTGTGTCAGCAGGCTACAAATCCCAGGAAAATAACAGTCCAATCAAATTCTGTCCTTGCTTGATTTCCACAAAAAGACGTGCTTGCCAAGAGCCGTGAGGATCAATAGTTGGAGAGGAGATGAATTCTCCACTCCTTAGTTCAGGACCCTTGTTAAATCTTTACCATCAGCCAGACTGACGTCTGCGAGCTTAAAACAAGCTTGAGATAGAAGGTGCAAGCCTCTTGCTGTGAGATTAGAGCACAATAAGGAAAATAAATAATCCCTGTGTATTTTCACTTTGACACTGGCACCCCCTTTGGTATTAAGGAAAACAGGCTGTTTCTATCAAAAACACAAACTTGAAGAAATTTGTTAAATGCTTACAAATACATTTTATGCAGTCCAGAAAGTATTCAGCGCACAAACTTTAAAAACCCTGACAATAATTTAAACATTATACACCAGATATACACATATGTAAACATATTCAGCAATGTTGACACTAGAATCGCAATAAAATATTATGGACTTGTGAATTGAATTGTTGTAACAGGCAGATATCCCCTTGTATAACACTAAGTTGACATACTGATGAAAACAATTTCAGGTGAATTAAGCATGCCACATGAGATACACTGACATATTATTATAGTGCAAAGATTTAAGTTAGTATTTTTCAAAAAACCTTTTTGCTTACTGGCACTTAATATACTAAGTAAACCCAGTATCAACTCTGTACCTTATACATGCAGCAACTATAAAAACAGTTAGAAATTTACAACGACACTGGTTATTATACCACTACCCACAAATGTAATGATAGATTAGAAAATAACAATATTGTGATCAGAGATACTAATCAAATAGAGTGAGACAGTCACGTGCCTTCATTGTACTGCAAGCTGAACCAAGGCAAAATGTTACCATTTTAGAAAGACAAACCCAGCCAGTAGTGTGTACCCCAGGATCAGAGAAAGTACTTTCAGAAGGCGGTCATGCTTTTCTTCAAATTCTTTCACCAGAATTTCAAAGAAAGTGACAAACAGAAATGTCCCAGCTGCAAAACCCTGCAGCACAACTGACGCGATGTGACTGCCGAGGCTATCGGCACTCTGAATGCCCATCCCGATGCCTATCCCAGCTGGTATCATTGCGCTGACCATCAGGGCTAACTTCAGTGCATCTTTCATCAGCACACCTCCTTTAGCCATGCTCACTCCCAATGCCACAGCAGCCAGTGTCTCATGGACTGCCACTCCAATAAACAAATTGATAACCTTTGCTCCTTTCTCCTGCAAGCCCAGGGCTAAACCCTCAAACACAGAGTGAGCAGATAGGGCAAACACGAGGCTGAGCAAACGCAAAGGGCTGGAATGAGGCAGCTCAGACAAGTTGAAAGAATGGCTATGTGAATGATAGCTGCGGCTGCACAGGTTGCTTTGACCTCGTCCCGGTGAAATGAAAGGGCTCTCATACTCAGAATCGCTACCCCCTTCCGACCCTGCATTGAATGTCTCCAAGTCAATGAAGGACGTTTTCTCCTTTTGAAATGTCAGAATCAATTGTTCGACAAAAAGCGTCAGAAAAAATCCCACCATCATTGTTGTCTCACCCAGTGGATAGTCACTTGATATGTTTCCACTCTTAAGAACCTCTTGAACCTGCAACAGGAAGTTAACAGTCTTTAGAACAATGTTTGAAACTGAGCAAAGAATGATTAACAAGATTGGTGGCATTTATTCCATTAGAAACCTGATATTTCTGACAGTTAATTTCACACTTAACAGTAATATTTACAATAAGATTTTTTCAGAAAAATTATTCAGTTGGAATTCCATAATTTCTGTTTAAAAAAACAGGGAATTGAGATTCCCTTAGTGATTTTGTTGGTGAATTCAGTTTCAGGCTTGACTTCCAGTCTTTGTTGATGCCAGCTAGTGACAATAAAGCTGAGATACTTTGGTTTCTGTGTCCCTTGACAAGGAAGAAGGGAATTCAAATTAGTCAGTGTTCATGGTTCTGTATAGTAATTTGTGTTCCCCAGTTGCAATTACATTACACAGGGAAAGGTGGGAGGGGAAGTAGGGGAACACTCACAGGGCATCTGGTGAGAGCTGGCACACTCTGGGCATACACAGCAAGAACAGCCACCACATGCATGAAATTGGATAGCAGCTAGAAATTAACTGTAACACAAGAGTCAGCTCATTCAGAACTAAAGCAGGTCAGGTTAAGGAAGTGTCATCTAGTTTGAGGGCCCCCCTACAGATGTAAGTATTGGTTCTACACAACCAGAGTGTCACCTCCTCCACACTTTGCCATCGAGGTGGGGAAGAGACTGTTGTCCTCCACGTTGTGGCATGCGCCTTTGCAGAGAATAGTGACTTTTAATTGAGGTTCATCCAATGAAGCTCTGCCATGCAGGCCTCTGTGCTCTACAGGATGTGCTGAAGGATGCAAACAGAGTCAAACATTAACCACACCTGGAGGACCATCAACTCACTGAAAGATACTCCTTGGTCTGCCCAGAACTTGATCTTCCATTGCAAGGAATTTTCCTTAACCAAGTATTGCATGCTGGCACCTTACAAGGTCAAAGATTACATGCTGAGGCACACACTAAAGGTTGGGGCAGCAAGGCACAATGGGGAATGGTCATTCCTAGGACCTTTCAGCCACTGTTGTACCCTTCGGGCTGTGCACCTTACAAGGAATGCACGCTGTTAACCAAGAGTTTTGAAAATGTATTGAGGCACGTCAAAGTGGAATGTGGTACGTCAAGGAAAATGTTACTTTTATTATTCTTTGTTGAATTTTCAAATTGTAATTTTTTTCTTCAAATCGTATACTTGATGCAGAATGATCTTGTAAATAATTGCATGAAGTGGAACATGCTGTATTGGGACATGTTGAATTTTCTTGCAAATTCTGGAACATTCGGCCAAACGTTTTGTAACTTTTTAAACACATTTTATGAAGAGAGTATATTTTTGTAAGAAAAAATAGCTGAGGGGAATACTGAATAATTTGGATTGCATTGATTTCTGTGCTCAGTGTCAATTCTTTTAGTGTCCTGTGGAAGAATGACTAAGTGAGGGCATTCAGCAATAGATCTGAAAGGTTTTGTTAGTTTTTCCAAGGCAAGTCACATCACACCTCTTTGTATAATAGTGTGGTATCAATGATGCTGGTGTTTCCTCCAGCTTTCTGGAGCCGGAGCTTTGTGGCAACAGCCTAAAATGATGCAATGTACATTTATAGAAGATGAAGTCAATACAAGGTCTGCATTCCCTCAGAGTTGCATTCTGTCCACTTTATTCCAAAGCAAACAATTAAAGACTTGAATTTCTGCAGCCTCTTTCATGTCTATAGAAAGCCCCAAAGCATTTCATAACTAATGAAGTGCTCTTTGATGAGTAGCAATGGTCCCTCAGTGCTGTGTGTTCATATAACAATATGAATGATCCAATGTCATCCATGGACAAAATGGTGCCATTAAATTGCCACGTGTGTGGACGTGCAAAAGAAATTGAACAGTCCACCTCCTTATGCATCAGGAAGAAAACCTCAGAGGGAACATTGATGTGCTATCATTATAATGTAAGACAAGAGGTAATAAATTTATGTACAGCAAACTCCCACAAATTGCCATATGATAATGAAAGTAGAAAAAGTAATATTTTCATTTAAATACAGTCATGCACAACTACAGGACAACAACTTTGAGTGCTTTACAGCCAATGAAGTGCTTTTTTTGAGGAGCAGTCACTTATTATAACGTACGGTCAGGTAATCTATTTCTGTGATGTTGATTGAGAGATAAACATTGGACATGTCACTGGGCATAATTCCCCTGCTGTCCTTTGAAAGAAAATGTCAATGGTATCTTTTACATTCACCTGAGGGTAGTCAGGTTCTCAGTTTAAGGTCTTAACCAAAAGACAGCACCTTTGAAAGAGGTGCATTTACACAGTACTGTACTGGAATGTTAGCAGACATTTTTACATTCAAGCAGTTTTCTAACCCAGAGGTGAGAGACTGTTAACAACTGAAAATAGTTGGAGACTAAAACAGAAATTGCAGGAGAAAATCAGCAGGTCTGGCAGCATCTCCTACTTATGGACCCCGTCATGAGCTTTTCTTTCTCCTGAGCACAGTATCATCCATCCCTCTGCCTCTCCAACTGTCGTTTCCTCTCTCTTTCTGGGCTCTATCTCCATTTATCCTTTCACTCCTTCTTTCCTTCCCTACTCCCCCAGACCCCAACCCACCAGCTTCAGTCTTTTCCTATATACTATTAGTTCTGAACAGGGGTCACTGGAATAAAAACATTAATTCTACTTTCTCTCCGTAGATGCTGCCAGACTTTGAGTTTCTTCAGCAATTCCTGTTTTTGTTTCAGATTTTCAGAATCCACAATGCTTTGTTTTATTGTACTTCGAGATGAGTTAGTGCTGTGGCTTAGAACCCTGCTCCTATACTTTACAGCCTAGCTTTCAAATCAAATTTTCATTCTTCCCGGACGAATGGGAGGTATCAGTAAACAGAGTTTATATATTCTCAAGTTGGTTCTAACTTGCTGCAATTTCATGACGACCAACTCTTACATGATTCCTCTCCCACCCATTTTCACCTAGCCCTTTCACCATATCCTTCTTTTCCATTCTCCCCGATGTTGTGCCTATTTAGTTTCTGTGCTATTCATTGCAACGTTTTAGCAAGTTCCAAATTCGAAACATTCTTTAGACTTATAATGTCAGTCTCACTTGGAGAATCAAAACGATGACTGGTGATAGAAGTGGATAAAAGCATGCTTTTTAAAAATTATTTACATGGAAGTCAGGCAATGCTGGAAAGGGCAGCATTTATTGCCCTTCTTAAATTGACCATGAGAGGGTGGTGGGGGACTGAAAACAACAAATGCTGGAGATCACAGCAGATCAGGCAGCATCCATAGAGAGAGCAAGTTAATGTCGAGTCTTCATCAGATACTGTCATTTTGAACTGCTAAAAGGTGAGTTGAGAATGTTTCTACAGTGCCCTTGAAATTATCATGTTCCGGGATTTTGATCCAGTAAAGATGAACAATGGCCGTACGGTATCAAATCAGGATAAAGTGCAACCTGGAAGGGGAAGCTGCAGGTGGTAGTACTCCCATACACCTGTTGCCCTTGTCCGAGATAGCAGAGGATATGGATTTGAAGATATTATCTACCCTATGACCCAAGAGCACTCCAAATATATGAGGCAGCCTATATTCCAAGCACTTACATCCCCCAGTGGATGTAACAACCTCATCTCATTTACATCGTCATGAATTCACCATTCATTGAATAGAAGCTGCATCAATATATAGCTCTGGAAAAAACTCTATTCCAATCCATCTGGCCATCAGAGTCTGCAAACAGAATACACAGTCCAGCATTAATTAATTTTGCTGCTAAATGCCTGATCAGCTTACTCTCTTTATGCTAATACAACCATTGTTAACAAAACCTATCCAAAACTCACTATGCATGAGTAACAACCACACACAGGTAAAGGATGTATTATTTTACATGAACAACAACCTATATTTGTACAGCACTGTAAATGTAATGGAGAACTTTACAAAAATGCATCAACAGGAAATAATAGCAGGGAAAATTACGACACCCAAAACTGAATACTGGTGAGTACCCCTTTACAGCTAGGTGCAATTTCTCTGTGAGTTTACTTAAGAGTTCAGGGTCTAAATGAGAACTGCGGCATTGACCAAAGGACAGAACAATGCAGTAACCATTGTGGATGCTGGACATTTTTGCAAAACCAGAACTGAAATATAATAATTTTGCAGAGATACAGTGCCTTTAACAAAGTAAAACATGGCAAGGAACTTCTTAGGAGCATTATCAAACAACATTTGAGCCACATAAGATATTAGAAGAGAGGACCGAAACCTGGTTTAAAACATGTCTTAGAGGTAGAGAGAGAAGTCAGGAGGCACAGAGGGAATTCCAGAGCTAAAAGTCCAGGCAGCTGAAGGAACAATTGGGAGTAGTGGTGCAATTAAAATCAAAGATCGGAACACAGGAACAGGAGTATGCTATTCAGCCTGTCGAGCCTGCTCCACCATTCAATAATCATGGCTAATCTGTGGCCTAACTCTACATTCCTGCATTTGGTCCATATCCTTAATATCTTTGCTTCACAAAAAATCTCAGATTTTGAATTAACAACTGATCCAGCATCCACAGTCATTTGTGGAAGAGCATTCCAAATATCTAACCACTATTTTTGTATAGAAGTGCTTCCAAACATCTCTCTTGAATGATCTAATTCTCAGAGTATGCTCCCTAGTTCTAGAATACCAATTAGTTTATCCACCCTTTCTTTTCTTGTTAATATGTTGAAGGCTTCTAAATTCTAGAAAAAACAGAACTCCTCGGAATTTAAATCCTGAAGACCAGGTGTCATTCATGTAAATCTACACTGTACTCCCTCCAAGGGCAAAATTTCTTTCCTAAGTGCAATGCCCAGATCAGCTCTCAGTACTCCAAGTGGGGTTTAACCAGGGTTTTGTATATCTGCAGCATAACTTCAGCATCCTTATACTACAGTCCTCTAAATATAAAGGCCAGCATTTCATTCGTTTTCTTGATTATTTCCTGTAGCAGTTCAGGGTATTTTAAAGATCTATGTACCTGAACACCCAAGTTTCTTTGGACATCCACTGTATTTAACTTCATTCCATCTAGGAAGTATCTTGATCTCTTCTTTTTCAGGAAAAAATGGATAACCTACATTAGCTTACACTGAACTCCATTGCCACAGATTTTACCTTTCATCTAGTCTCTACCTCCTTGTAATTTAGCGCTATCATCTACATTGCCTACAATGCCACCTAACTTTGTGTCCTCAGCAAATCTGGATACATGTCTTTCTATGCCATTATCCAAGTCATTAGAAAATAATGTGAATAACTGAGGCCCTTACACATCCATTTGGGACACCACTGTCACACCCTGTTAGTTTCAGTACCTACCCATTATCCCTACTTTCTGTTACCTCTTAAGTCAACAAATTTCCAAGCCATGTCAGTAATTTACCCTCAATTCTGTGAGCTTCTACCTTAGCTAACAGTCTGTTACGTAAGACTTTATCAAATGCCTCTGGCAGTTCAAATAAGAGGCCGGAATTACAGCAGCACTCTTGTGCTGTTCTCTAGAACAGGACTGGATGGGATGTTTAAAGACATTGAGGGACTATGGGAGAAGATTGTGAAGGTACTGGCTGTAATTTTCCAAACTTCCTTTAAAGAAGTGGTGGTGCCCCAGCACCCAAAAATTGCAAATCTTTGCACCCAATGCAAAAACAATTCAGCCAACAACTGCAGGCCAGTCAGTTTCACCTCTAGGGTAAAAAATCTTTCAGAAAAATCAATCAGGACAAAATTAACAGACACTTGCACAAGCATAGACTAAAACAGGCCAGTGCAGATTCATTAAATTCAAATGATGTTTAATTAACTTTTGAATTTTTAAGTGAAATAATGGGAAGGATAATGACGATAATGTGGAAGAGGTAGATGTGAATGTCAATGGGCAGCATATGGATTTCAACAAGGGCATTTGATAAAATGTCATATAATAGGTTTGCCAGCAAAGTTGGAAACCATCGGATAAAAAGGACGGTGGATGTCTTGATGCAAAGTTGGCCGAGTGACAAGAAGCAGAGAGGTGGTGAATGGTTATATTTTGACCTGAAGAATGGCATATTGTGGAGTTGCCTATAGGTTGGTACTAGGACCAATGCTTTTCAAATCACTTAGAATTAAGTGTAGACGTGGAAAATTAAATTAAATGCAGAGAAGGGTAAGGGTTGGTTGGAAGATCAAAACTGAAAATATAAAGGATGCAAATCTAAAGAGGGTGTAGGAACAGAGGAACCTGTCAGTACATGTGCAGAAATTGTCGAAAGCAGCAGGGTAGGTTGAGAAAATGAAGAGGTATTAAGGATCTTGGACTTTATAAATTAAGGCATAGAGTCCAAAAGCTTTCCAAAGCACTGGTTTGGCTTCCATTGGAGTGCTGTGCACAATTCAAGAAACCATACTGTAGGCAGGTTATGAAGGCTTTAAAGACAATACACTAAAGGTTCAAGAGAAACATTCCAGGAATGTGGGACCTTAGTTACGTGGTTAGATTGGAGAAGCCAGGGCTGTTCTCATTAGAGACAAGAGGTTGAGAGTAGATTTGAAAGAGGTGTTCAAAATCACATGGGGGTATGGACAGAATAAACAGGGAGAAACCATTCCCACTCGAAGAAAGGTGAACAAAGTGAACAGCAAAATACAAATGGCAACACAAGGATTCTTTTTTTTGAAACACAGCAAGTGTTTATGAACTGTGGTGAGGCAGAGAACTGGATAAGCAGCTTAAGAAAGAAGAAATGCAGTGGTGCAGTTGAAGGACAGGAGAGTGGGGCTAGCCAGGTTGCTCTTTCATAGGGTGAGCGGACACGAGGTCTGAATGGTCTGCTTCTGTGCCATAACCATGCAATGAGTTTAAACAAAACAATGCTCTTATTCTTTATGTATTTATGTTCAAAAGGGAATTTTACATCACCAAACTTATTGAAAGAAGAACATTTGCTAAAAAAAAGTTTTGTTTCACTAATCAACTATTTATACATTTATGTCTCCAAACCTCTCCAGATTGCTCTTGCTATCAAAGACAATTAACAGACATGCAGTCCTCACCTTTTCCCTTACAACTGGCAACAAAGCATTGAAGCAGGTTGCCAGAAATACTCCACCACCAAATGAACTGCAAAGTGAGAGCACCTTCTTGGACTTGTGTGCTTTTTCATAGTCAATTTGGATCATTCGAACAGGCAATAATGAGCCGAACATCATTAGGATGAAAACCCCAGCCATGCAGAAGACTTTTGTCACCAAAATATTCATCTTCAAATCCAAGTTACGTTGTATCTGCTTTCAGGAAGTGGATTAAAAGACACATAGAGATGACGGTGCTCGAGTTCAATTTACAGCTGACTTCTGTTCTCTCTCATCTTTCTTTTTCAAAATGAGGGAAGCCTTGTCCCACTTAACAAGCTTTCCAACGATTTGTGAATATCTCCAAATTCATTGTAACTGAGAAAGAAGAAAAACAAACCATTGACAAAAATCTGCTTCTTTTCTTTCTTCAATTCTTAAACTTATGCTGCAAAAGTAACAAAACATTCCTGCTTTAACACATCAGTTAATGACTTACGGTAGGATGAAGGAGGAGAGTGGCACAATGGGATGGCACGACTCATTTTGAATAATGCTGAATGTTGCCAAATCTTTTTATCTTGCAACCCTCAGGACAAACACAAGAATGCCAAAATTCCAAACAATTATGACAATTTATGCCACAGAGGAAAAAATGATGATTGGTTGGCAAATCAACGTTCATTGGCCGAAGTACTGCCTTGGTGTAAGCAACAGGGAACTATAGGCTACCCGAGCTCCCAGGCTATTCTAAAAAGGCACAACGCTTGAACGAAACAGGATCGTGAGTCCTAGTGTATGTTGCTTCAAGCATAGAATCATACAGAAGAGGCCCTTCTTTTGTACTGTCAAAAAATATAATATTACCTACACTAGTCTAGATTAATCCCACTTTCCCACCTTAGGCCTGTAGCCTTGAATGTTATGATACTTCAAAAGCCCATCCAAATACTTTTTAAAGGTTGTGAGGTTTCCTACCTCAACTATCCTTCCTTAAATTCACCCAAACCTCCTGCCTTTCACTTTAAAATTATGCCCCCATTTTACTGACCCTTCAACTAAGAGGAACAGCTGTTTTCTTCAATTCGCCTTATGCATCTCATGGTCTTATGCACATCTATCAAGACCCCCTGAACCTTCTCTGTGCCAAAGAAAACAATCTGAGCTTATCCACCCTCTCTTCAGAGCTGAAATCCTCCATGCCAGGCAACATCCTGGGTGAACGTGCTGTGCACCCGCCCCCCACAGCAATCACATCCTCCTTACAGTGTGGTAACTAGAACTGCACACAGTACTCCAGCAGTGGCCTAAAGAAAATTCTGTTCAGCTCCAGCATGACATCCCTGTTCTCATAATTTATGCCATGACAGATAAAGGCAAATATCATATTTGCGTTTTTAACTATCTTATTAACCTGTCCAACCTATTGGTGGACAAGCATCCCAAGTTCCCCCTGTTCCTCTGAGCTTTCTAGTGTCTTGCCATTCAGCAAAACGAAAGGAAGGAAGGAGGAGGACACACCCCTGTCTACATCAATGGAGCAGAGGTGGAGACAGTCAAGAGTCAAGTTCCTCGGAATGATGATCACCAACAATCTGTCTTGGACCACCCACATTGATAAGACAGTCAAGAAGGCACAACTATGCCTCTTCTTCCTCAGGAGACTCAGGAAATTCAGCATATCCATTAGGACCCTCACCAACTTTTACAGATGCACCATAGAAAGCATCTATCTGGGTGCATCACAGCATGATATGGCAAATGCTCTGCCCAGGACCATTAGAAACTATGAAAAGTTGTGAACACAGTGCAGACCATCACACAAGCCAACCTGCCATCCACTGACTCCATCGAAACTTCTTGTTGCTGTGGAAAAGCAGCCAACATTATCAAATACCCCTCCCACCCCGGTTATAATCTTATCCAACCTCTCCCATCAGGCAGAAGATACAAAGTCTTAAACACATGCACCAACAAGTTCAACAATAGCTTCTTCCCCACTGTTATTAGACTACTGAATGGACCTCTCAAATTTCAAATCTAATGTTGGTCTTGCTTTTACATATCTCCTGTGCAGCTGCAATTTTGTATGCCTTGCTCTGTTCAATCACCCTATGATCTGCCTGTATTGCACGCAAAATAAAACTTTTCACTGTACTTAGGTACATGACCACAATAAATCAAATCAAATCACTATGCACTCCCTTGTCTTGTTCCTTCTTCTAAAGGCAACATCTCACATTTGTCTGGGTTAAGTTCCATTTGCCACTGAGCTGTCCATCTGACCAATCCACTTTTATGCCCCATAACCTAACACCTTCCTCCTACTGTCAACTACCCAGCCATCTTTGTGTCATCCACGAACTTATCATCTCCCCCCACATTGTCATCTACATCAGTTATAAATATCACAATCAGCAAGGGATCCCTGTGGTATGCCTCTGCACACCATGCTCCAATCACACAAACAGTCTTCTACAACCACCTTTTGTCTCCTGTCACTGAGCTAATTTTGGCAAGCTGGATCCAAAAATCAAGCATGTGTAAACAAACAGAGCTAAAAGCTCAGCTGATTATCATAAGCTGGTTGCTAGTGTAGCCATTAGTGCACTTGCGAACAAGACAAAAAGATTCAACAAGACCAACACTATTGTCCATCTTATAACGGACTTGAGGAGAAACTGGTGAGTTGACTTATTGACAACAGAGTGGCTCGTGAGTGCATTAAATAAGGCTGATTTGGACACACATTTTGACCAGGCTGGGTAAGAAGGACAAACTTCCTTCCCTAGATGGAGACTGAGAAGTAAACATTTTTTAAAAACTATAACAAAATAATAGTTTCATGTTCATAAATATGCAGATTATAAGAAATGATTAATTGAATTTAAATTCCTGCTACAGAAAAGGTTGAACCTATGACATGAGATCATTTTTTCAGGTCACTAGATTACTTTCATAAAAACAAAGTGATGGAAAAAAACTTAGTAGGTCTGGTCGTATCCATGGCAAGCAAAACAAAATTAATGTTTCAAATTCAATATCACTCTTCTTTGAAATTGCAGTATGATAATTCCTGTATAATTTTCACACAATGTCAAAATAAAGCCTTCCACTGACATTACAATGTGATTTACCCACATCTTAAATATTCCTTTAATGAAGAAAATATTTTCTTTGTAAACAAAGCAATTGCAGGGATCTCTATAATAGTTATGTTAGTCGAGTGCATTGGTCAGTGCAGAATAATTTAGTAGGATTCTTGAGGGTTGAGCTGCTAATTGGCATTGTGAACCTTTCTGCGATATTGAGTATATATGCACATTATGGTGAGGGCTTATGGTGCATTGGAAGTGTCCCTATCTCAGGGCCAGAAAGTCAAGGTTCAGCCCCTACCTTCTATGGAAGTGTGCCACAGGTTGATTAAAAACACATTTATGGTCCTCTCACAGTTATGCAATACTTATTGTCTACAATCACATACTAAACATAAGCACTGAAGGTTAGACATTAGGCATGGGTTGAAACCACATGTGTCACCACTAATCTAAGTGGGGAAAGAAATGTTTTTAAAAATAAATGCAAAGGCTGACTTTTCACCTCATTCAAATCTGGCAATGCCAATGAAAACAAATAGCTATAACACTTCATGGGGTTCTGAGGAAGGGTCATTCAACCCGAAACGTTAACTAATTTCTCTCCACTGGTGCTGCCAGACCTGCTGGGCTTTTCCAGCAATTTGTGTTTACAAAATCCGCAGTTCTTTTGGTTTTTTCAGTTATAACACTTAACAGAGGCAACTGCCATTGCTCCAAAATGCACGTTAGTAACTTAAATTCAGGAAGCCCTCTTTCCCATGCTCATTCATATATCAGCACCCCTTACACTATAAGACTCAGGAGCATAAGCAGGCCATTTAGCACAATGGAATCTGCTCTGCCATTCATGAGAAGACAGCTCCAATTTTCTGTCATTTCTCCATAACTCAATTCCCTTACTAAATAAATAAAAATGTCAATTTAATAAACCAGCCTCAACAGTCCTCTGCAGTAAAGAATTCCACAGATTCACTACTTTCTGAGAGGTCATAAGAACATAAGAACTAGGAGCAGGAGTAGGCCGTCTGGCCCTTCGAGCCTGCTCCGCCATTCAATAAGATCATGGCTGATCCATTCGTGGACTCAGATCCACTTACCCGCGTTCTCACCATATCCCTTAATTCCTTTATTGTTCAAAAAAAATCTACCTTTTTTTTTAAAAACATTTACTGAAGTAGCGTCAACTACTTCACTGGGCAAGGAATTCCATAGAATAACAACCCTCTGGGCGAAGAAATTCCTTCTCAGTTCAGTCCTAAATCTGCTCCCTCTAATCTTGAGGCTATGCCCTCTTGTCCTAAGTCACGGCTGATCAGATTGCGGCCTCAAAACCACTTTTATATGCTCCCAGCCAAACCCCGTCCCATAACCCTTGACTTCCTTGTTGATCAAAACTCTGTGCGACTCAATCTTAGATATCTTCAATAACGCAATCTCCAGTGGGAAAGAAATTCCACAGACTAATGACCTCTGAGAGAAACAAAACTCAGTTGTGTCTTAAATAGGAGAACTGTTTTTTTAAAAAGACTCCAATTTTGGTGTCACCCTGGTCCTATGTAACTGCAACAAAGCTTCCTCACTCATATTCCAAACTTTTAATGAAAGCAAACATACCATTCTCTTTCCTAAGAGATTGTTTTACCTGTGCATTAGATCTTACATTTTTCTTCTTTAGCCTCTCATGGGATGTGGGCATCACTGACAAGGCAAGCATTTTTTGCCTATCTGTAAACGCACTTGAACTGAGTGGTGAGTTTAGCTGTTTCAGTGGATAGTTAAGATTCAACTGCATTGCTGTGTGACCTGGAGTCACCTGTAGGTTAGAGCAGGGTAAGTACTGCTGAGTTCATTCTCTGAAGATTAGTGAACCAGATGCGTTTTTAACCACAACAAATAATGGTCGTCATGGACACTGTTACTAGGCTTAGCTATATATTTCAGACTTACTGATTGGAATTTAAATTCCACCAACTGTAATGGAGGGGATTAGATCCCATATCCTTACAGCATTAGCCTCACCAGCTGTGAGTTTTATTCCAGTGGCATTACCACCATTGAACAGGTGGTAGTGGCATGCCTTCCTTAAGAGAAGGAAATCTGCCATCCTTGCCCAGTCTAGCCTACATATGACATAGCAATGGAATTGATGTTCTGAAGTGGTCTAGCAATGTCCATTCTCCAGTTCAACAGTAATTAGGGACAGACAAGAAATGCCAGAGCTTCTACCTCAAACATCTCAACAAAGAAATGAAAAACTACACCCCACCAACTCCCTGCAAAATTGACGATAATTAAATGTCTGACTCACCCATCCACCTTCAAAGCCTTTTATTCAGGAAGCGCTCTGTGTGTGTTTGTGTCTCGAGGTGATGCCTCCCACAGTCAAACAGCCCCCTCCCCGGGGGGCTCGTTCCCTCCTTTTATAAAATACGCAGCAAAATCGGGTTTGTTTTGGTTTATACTCGAATTCAAGGTTTCCGCTGCGAAATAATTAACAACAACGTTGTCCGCCCCGCGATTTTCACTCGCCTTCCTCAGCGCCGTGTGTCAGTCAAATGGTTCCGACCGAGGGGCACAGGGAGTGAAGAATAGTTCCGCACCTGATAGTTTGCCCTATTGGCCAAAAGAAGTTTACTGGGATCTCCCATTAGGTATCCATTGGGAATCTCACTGAAAGTGCTGGTTCTGGTTGGGATTTTTATCTTTTGGCGCAATACAAAGATAAAACACTGGCCGAAATTTTCCAAAATCCGCCAGAACAGACTCAATGGCCTACTTCTACTCTTGTGTCTTATGGGTTGTCAAATTGAGTCAGATGTATCATCACTTGACATCCTTCTTCATGCCTCCCCACCTGCCCCATACCACCCACCCAATGTATAATGTAATGGTTCTGAAGGGGTTAATGTTCCTGTTACACTGAGCTCCACCCAACCTGATGATGCCACTCAGACTGGAGTTCTGTAATGAATGCCCGGGGGAGTAGATGTATTCTGTTAGAGTCATTGAAATTATACCTGGCAAGTTAATGGATGCTGTACCAATGCCCCTTTGTCTTTTGCACTGGGTCTCTACACCATCTGTCCCTTGCTCCTTTTTCACCGCTATGAAAAATATTAGAGTCATACAGCACAGAAACAGACCCTTTGATCCAACCAGTCCAATGCAACTATAATCCCAAACTAAACTAGTTTAGTTCAGAGATAGGAGGAACTGCAGATGCTGGAGAATCCGAGACAACAAGGTGTAGAGCTGGATGAACACAGCAGGCCAAGCAGCATCATAGGAGCAAAAAGGCTGACGTTTCGGGCCTAGACCCTTCATCAGAAATGGGGGAGGGGAAGGGGGTTCTGAAATAAATAGGGAGAGAGGGGGAGGCGGATATAAGATGGATAGAGGAGAAGATTGGTGGAGAGGAAACAGACAGGTCGAAGAGGCGGGGATGGAGCCAGTAAAGGTGAGTGTAGGTGGGGAGTTAGGGAGGGGATAGGTCAGTCCAGGGAGGACGGACAGGTCAAGGGGGCGGGATGAGGTTAGTAGGTAGG